TTAAGTGCATAAAAAAAAAAAAATCCTACACACATCAATGCAACAAAGGAAACTCCTTTCTCTCACCTCTTGGCTAAACTCGTCTAGCTGGAACAAGTTGTCGAAACCCATCTGTTGGAAGTTGTCGATGTAAGCTGACAGGCCTAATCTGCCCAGCCATCTGAAAAACATAAATAACACAGATAATTGCCTTGGATATATAGCAGTTAGAGTAGATAATTGTCTTGGATATATAGCAGTTAGAGTAGCTAATTGTCTTGGATATATAGCAGTTAGAGTAGCTAATTGTCTTGGATATATAGCAGTTAGAGTAGATAATTGTCTTGGATATATAGCAGTTAGAGTAGATGGTTGTCTTGGATATGAAGCAGTTAGAGCTGATGATTGTCTTGGATATGTATCTTGGATATGAAGCAGTTAGAGCAGATGATTGTCTCGGACAGATAGCAGTTAGAGCAGATGATTGTCTCGGACAGATAGCAGTTAGAGCAGAAGATTGTCTCGGACAGATAGCAGTTAGAGCAGATGATTGTCTTGGACAGATAGTAGTAAGAGCAGATGATTGTCTTGGACAGATAGCAGTGAGAGCAGATGGTTGTCTTGGGCAGATATAAGTTAGAGCAGATGATCGTCTTGGACAGAGATAACAGTTAGAGCAGATGATTGTCTTGGACAGATAGCAGTTAGAGCAGATGATCGTCTTGGGCAGATAGCAGTTACAGCAGATGATTGTCTTGGACAGAGATAACAGTTAGAGCAGATGATTGTCTTGGGCAGATAGCAGTTAGAGCAGATGGTTGTCTTGGACAGATAGTAGTAAGAGCAGATGATTGTCTTGGACAGATAGCAGTTAGAGCAGATGGTTGTCTTGGGCAGATATAAGTTAGAGCAGATGATCGTCTTGGACAGAGATAACAGTTAGAGCAGATGATTGTCTTGGACAGATAGCAGTTAGAGCAGATGGTTGTCTTGGACAGATAGTAGTAAGAGCAGATGATTGTCTTGGACAGATAGCAGTTAGAGCAGATGATTGTCTTGGACAGATAGCAGTCAGAGCAGACGATTGTCTTGGAGAGATAGAAGTTAGAGCAGATGACAACCTCCGACAGTTGGCCGCCACAGCAAGCTAATCACCCACACTGGCACTCACCCTGCTATAGAGTTATCCTGCGGCTCCCCGAGGTAGCCGTCAATGTCCTCCTTCTTGACCGCCAGCCCCGTGTGACCCCCGCCGCCCCCGTCCCCGTTGACCATCACCTCCAGGGACGGGCTGCCCTGCGAGCTGGACACGCTGTTGAGCAGGCCACTGCACAGCTCCTCGCTGACCTCGAAGGGCAGCACGGCCGCGTGGCTGTCTGTGCTCAGGGTGGTGGACGTGGAGGCCTCGGACGAGGCCGACGACGTGGAGGCGTCGGAACAAGGGAAGCTGCCGCCCGGGACGTGTCTGAGAACACAGGAGGAATTACAAGTTTTACACCTTCATCCACACAATTTCACATCATTTTTAACAAAAAGTTTTAGTGTGTTTTTTTTTCGCTTTTTTCCCGCAAGAGTTTTACGGCACTTGCAACACAATAAGGTCATATAAGCGCCGAAGACCTTTTTTTACTTGGTGTTTTACAGTGCTCGTAACTGCAGCCGAAGATTAGAGGTGTTACAAGGGAGTAACAAACACAAAAAAGGAGGGGAGATAAAGATGATAGATGATAGATGTTGGATAGGAAAGAAGGAGCAAACCACACCAGAGCACCTGCCAACTACCCACTTTCACTTAGCTCGCAAGTGCATAAGGTCATATGAGTGCCAAAGGGTGGATGTCAACAGAGAAGTCCAAACGGAATCAGGCTTACTCTGCTCACCTTTCTAGCCTCAACAGCACAAAATGTGCTTCTATTATCAAGGCATCCCGGTAATAGCAGTTAATAAGAGAGTAACAAAAATATAAAAGAAGTAGAGGAAAATGACGATAGTAAGGATGAGGAAAGATCCCCCTATGTTGTTCCAGCACAGTATGAGCATGACACTGATAAATAAGCCCATTTACAACTTTATCGACACAGTTTGGACCATTGATTGTTTGTTTGAGTAAAGAGAAAAAGAAAAATTCATACTCATTCACTGGATTTCTCATGGAAGCCTTATAAATCTTTTAGCGTTCAACCCCTCCCCCCTCCCAAACCAACTCCATCTTCTCCACTATAATTTCAGTTAAGTTTGAGTAAACAGAAGAGCATCGACACAGTGAGTCTTTTAGTGCTGGGAAAAAGTTAAGACAGACGGACAGAAACAACAGACGGAAAGGAGTAGGACCTACCAATGGCACCCTCAAACTACCTATTGTAAGTGTTTAAAAAAAATCCCTGCAGATTTTACTGTTACAGGTTTACAACATCTGATCACTGTGTGTGTACAGTAGGTGATATAAATCCAATTAGTCTAGCACCCGTATAGAGAACATGCACACAGCTAGCAGATTTAGAACAGCAAGTCACTTTGTGTGTGGTGCAGTATATGACATGAAACCAGGATGACTTTGCTAAATTGTATCACACTTTTTTTTTTAATGTAGGTTTTTTTAATACCCTTATTGAAACACTATATATCATTTAGAGGAGGCTTCAGATCCTGCCTGTTAAGGCCAACCCGTGTTGAGAGGCGAGGGGTACAATATCCCTGCAGAAAATCTGAAACGCTAGATAAAATATTTTCCCCAATTGGGAATCAAACCTCCGGTTCCCTGTGTGAGACAGCAAGGCAGATTCACACGGGCACTTACACTATGTATCATGATCATCTCAGTTAAACTTTTTCTTTACTCATATTCCCAGCGTCTCCTGACTTGAGACATCCATTTTAGTTTTAGTAAGAGAGTTACAGCACTTGCAACACAATAAGGTCATATAAGTGCAGAAGAAGGAAGGGAGATGAGGACGATAGATGTTTGATAGGAAAGAAGGAGCAAACCACACAAGAGCACCCGCCAACCACCCACCGAGACACATCCAGCCGTCCTCTAGGGAGGTTTTAAAAGTGGTGTAATCATACTAATGCTCATGCTCAGCACACCTTGCCCGCAAAGAAAGTGAGTTCAGTTCTCAGATATAGGAGAAGTCATAATGACCCCATCACATGATTACCAACACCATTGTAATTTCCTGTGAGATAAAAATTCTTTTCAAAGATGTGATAAGCCTGATATGTTCAGAGTAATTTCTTGTGTCATTTTCAAGGCTTGAAAAACAGCTATTAAAATTCACAAGAAAATGTCAATTCCCTGAGTAAAAAAAAAAAACCTGATGAACCAGTGGTACCATCCGTTCACAAGATCACTCGCGCCTCATAATTCTACACATCACTCACAAAAGTAAGAGCAGTCAAACAACTTGTAATCATAACATTTATTGGCAATGTACACAATACACAATAGTCATTGAATAAACCATACATTTGTGTGTTCTAGGTAAGGCCTCATAAACCATGCCTTTCTCACAAGTTTCAGTCAGACAGCAAAAGTGCTCCTCTCATCCCCACACCATTCAAAGAATTGCTCCGCAGTTATAATAAATACTAAATATTTGAAAAGACTAAAAGAAAATAACATTAGAATCATAATTAAATGTTAGTGTTAAAAAGAAAAGAAAAAGGAAACACTAATGGCAAACAATTAGCATTTTTCTAGGATGAGTTGTTCTTTGCATTTCACGGACCTGAGCTGAATACTAATACAACCAAGAAACTAGATCTATGGGTTTGAGGGACACATCCTGAACATAAACTGGCCTGAAAGAAATTATCATTTCTATTACTGACAATGTCTGCAGTCTACTCCCATCCCATTTTTAAAAATCCCCAAATTCAAAGCTTTTTATGGGATATTTCTCATTTAGGAGTTAGCTTCCGCTCCCTGTTTAGCATTTTGTCGGGATCAAAATGGAAGGCAAAGGGAAGGTGAATGTTTGAAGCCACCCTCCCAGACATTACCTGCTACAAAGCACAATTCCCTCCACTGGTTTCCCTTTATTCTTAGCAAGAGCTTTGCAGCACTTGCAATACAATAAGGTCATATAATTGCCAAAGATGAGAGGTATAATTGGTTACCCTTTATTCTCCTCCCACACCAAAAAACAGTAATCAGAAACTATTTAAACAGACCCAGCCTACCCAAGCTCTGGAGAGTACAAAAAACAAAGCACCCCCATAAACATCAATTAAGTTTAAGTATTGGGCTCATTAAAAAAGTTCTTCGTTGTTTGCTACACATAAAACATGTTAACCTTTTCAAAATCTTAAAATCAGTCTAGCACACAAATAGCGAACAGATGTTTAGATCTCGAATTTTTCTTTTCATGCATATTCTTTGTATTTAAAACATGTACAAAGCAAAATTCGCACATAACGAAAAAAATTACTATATCCCACTGATTTCGCTGTATGCATGCAAGACTGTATCATCAAAACATATGTCATTATGCCACTACCATTTCCCAATAGATAAGTATGCTATATGGGAAAATTCTCTTTTAATGGACAGAGTATAGGTCCACTATGTTTTAAGCAGCTGAACTTTGTGTGCATCAGAAAAGACAAAGAAATTAAAGACTAGACTTGCTTCTCTGGAGGAGACACATCGTTCGCATTACTACAGAAGAACATAAAAATATCAAAATGGTTAACCTACACTTCTTGCTATTCTAAGAAAACACTAGTGTATTCAGAATAAGCTCTGGCATACTTATCTGACAATCTAAATTCAAATATCAAACCACGCACAAACAGAAGTAGTACAGCATCTTTGTACAGTAAAATTCACAAAGGCATTAACATGACCTTGTACAGTAAAGTTTACAAAGGCATTAATATGACTTAGCAAAAGTAAAGTCCATAAAAAGCATAGCATAGTCAGCAACAGCAACAACAAACACAAAAAGAAATGAAAAGACGAAAACCAGCCAACATGCTATGATCAATATCACAGTTCACAGAGTCTACACAAGAATCAGGTATATAGAGAAAAATAAAACAACACTGCACAGTAAGACCTACTCGTAGAACAAACTTCTTTTTTCCGTTTTAATGTAGGTGCCTTCAAGTCCCCATCAACACAATTTAGATCATTTTTGTGGCAGGCTTTGACCCTGCTCATCAGGGTCAACCCTGGCTGAGAGGGACACAATATCCCAGCAGAAATACCAAGACGCTTAATAAAAATTTTCCCCACATGGGAATCAAACTTGGGTCTTCTATGTGCTACGGCAAAGCACCTAACTGCTACACCACAGACGCCAGTAGACCTACTCTGAGAGATAAGTCTCCACAGCAACTAATAAAAACAATACATAAACAAGAGCAGTAAGAGTGACATGAGTCAACAAGAGTTTAAGAGGGAGGAAAAATCACAGCGTAGCATGGCAACCGATACAGTTTAGTAGCGAGGAGGTGAAAAGAAGAAAGAAAACGAAAGAAAGTAGCACAAGCAAAGATGGAACTGCCCATTTGATAGCTGTTTTCAACAGAATTAGCAAATAAGATAGACAAAGCAGAGACCAAATAAGACAAAGCAGAGAGAAAAAATATGAGACCAAAAAAAAAATATAATAAAAATAAATAAATAGCAAGAAGAAATAAGACCGAAAAAAAAATAGGGAGAAGAAATTAGATGGGGGGGGACGACAAAAAGACAAAGCTGGGACAGGAAATAAGACAACAAAAGACAACAGACAAAGCAGAGACAGATAAAAGACAACAAAATAAGATAGACAAAGCAGAGACAGATAAAAGACGACAAAATAAGAGAGACAAAGCAAAGACAGGAAATGAAATATTCCACCTAGTCCAGGAGGCCGAATGCACATTAAAAAATCATTTTTTTAAAAGGGACCTTTACAAACAACAGCGAGTGACAATAACTGGGAAAAATAAAATACAATCAACACAACTAAAAAAAAACGCATCAAAAACAAAACTGATGCAACAATATCTTCAAATTTACAGGACAGTTACACACTTTACGGCAGTGTATGATAGATTAGAGTGGACTATCATCAACCACTGCCTCTTCCACGCAACCATGATGAAAATGATCAAACAAAGACAGAATGATAATATTGCACTACATCATTCTATGCCACAGTGCTCTGACTCCCACTCAGTTTTACCCCAATATCAGCTGATACGACTGAACCAAATGGGAAAACTCCCAAGACAAGCCCAGATCAAGAACGCCTGATACGGTACCTCATTGGGAATTCAAACCAGGACCGTCCACACTATGGTCCAGTGTGATACCTACGGAGTTAGCAACACACCCCAGTGGTGTGTGTGAGTGTGTGTGTGCATGTATATGTGTGTGTGTGTGTGCATGTATATGTTTTGTGTAAGCACGTGTGTGTGTCTGTTTAAGTATTGCTGGAGAGAATGAGAGGTTTTGAGTACCAACCCAATCACCCTAAATGAAGAGGGTAACAAAATCAATTAGTACCCATTTGTAAACACTGAAATATGTAGACGGTCCACATACTTGCTAAACACTACTGGCAAGAATAGAATCCACCAATATTTGACATACTACAAAGAAAAAAAATTATTTTTTTTTAAAGAAAGAAAATTGCTGCCCTAAAATTTAAGACTTTTCATTTCATTTTGTAATAAACTAACATACCCACATACACATTCATAAACACCTTCTCTCTCTCTCTTGGTACTTTTATGACCGTTAATGTTTCACAACAGCATCAACACAAATTAGACCATTTAGGAGGCGGGCTTTTTAACCTTGCCCTACAAACTCAGCTCAACCAAGGGTGAAAGGGATACAGCATCCCCCCCAAAAAACTCCCAGAGATATCAGACAAAAGTCTTCCCTGACTAAGAATAGAGCTAATCTTATATTTTGACCCCACAGCGAAAAAGCCTTACCACTACACCAAAGACAGCAGTTTTGCCGGCTCAAGTAACATAAACATAAAATGTATAAAGTTTTAGTAAGAGCTTTACAGCACTTGCAACACAAATAGAGGGTCACATAAGTGCCGATGATTAGAGATGTTACTCAAGAGTAACGTATGAAGAAAAAGGAGAGATCAGAAAAAGACGATAGTTTGATGTTACAGAAGTAACACAACCATATCACACCTCCCCCAACCACCCACTTAACTCACACAACAAGCCGTTTTACAACATTAACTCACAGGAACAACAAAGAGACTCCACAAACTTTCACAATAATCCAATGAATGCAGTGTGCAAAAGGTATACCATGTTACTAAAGGGCGCAATGTACATGCTTACAGGGTTGAAAACGAAGAGATTCTAAAAACAACAACACATTTATCTCTAACAACAGTCTTCTCGATCAGAACTCTGTGCTCACACATTAATTTTGAAATTCCTTCCATTGGCCGGAGGCAAAAAAAGAAATTTGATAAATCTTTTTGAAATTCCCAGCCTGCCTGAATTTCATAACCTTCAAGTCCACCTTCCATCTACACCACCCACCCACTCTGTGTGTGTGTTAGTAAGAGTTTTATGGCACTTGCAACACAATAAGGTCATATACGTGCCGAAGATCAGAGGTGTTACAAGAGAGTAACAAACACAGATAGAGAGAAAGAGAGAGACACACAGAGAGAGACAGAAAGAGAGAGAGAGAGAAAAAAGGAGGAGAGATCAAGAAGATAGATGTTTCATGGGAAAGAAGGAGCACACCACACCAGAGCACCCGCCAATACCACCCACTCTGACCAGCAGAAGTTAACAAAAAAAGTGGCCTCATCCGGGGCTAAATAAATCATACCAAACATTAGATTAAAAAAAACAAAAACAACGGACAACAATGACGCGACGCGACGCAGACTCAAAGATCCCCAGTTCTCACTCTCCAGCTGAATACAGATCTTTTACGGGTTCTCCTCCAACAAGAATCAGAGAACCCAATAACAGTAACAGTCATCAATCACAGATCACTTTACAGTGAATCGGCACTTCTCCCAGGCCGTGGTAGCAACAGGCATGATTCCAGGAATGATAGTGTTATAGTCTCCAATTTTTAAAAAATTTAAAAAGTAGGTAAATATGTGGATTTGTTATATCTTTTGAAGTCCCCAAAAGTAAAATAAGTATGTAAATACGATATTTTTCAGCCGCTAAGGTAGGTAAATCAGTATGATATTTGGAAGTCACCAAATACGGTAAATATGGCAATTCGTTGCGTCTGGAGAACCACAAAACTCCACATAGCATAGTGCAAACTGCTTCTATGACTCTTATTTACTGATGCCACAGCATCTGGTAAGTTCCAACTTTGAAAAAGAACAACATTACGGATTACCCCTCTTAAAAATGATTAAGAACCTTATATCTCAATCACTATTTAACAGTAGTGTACTGTACGGAGGCAAAATGTTATTCAAAGAACAAGATAAAACATTATTATCTCATAGAAGTGTCAGTCCAAGGGCAAAGATAAAAAACCATTCGAATGACAAGATAAAACATCATCTCATATTGACCATACTAAACATCATTCCAAGGACGAGAGATAAAATGCCAATTTAAAGGGACAGGATAAAACACATTGCTCCGAGAGCCAATCTTGTCCCTTTGAATTCCCCCGCATTTCTTTCCTTTGCCGCCATCATCATCCCTTGATACTTTATGTCAGTCCATCAACAACATTAAAAAAAATGTTTTCACTTCTTGAGAGATTTCCCAGGCTTTGATGGCAGTTTTTTCTTCTTGGCCATCGACTTCATCTTTGTGTCCTGGCCCGACAAGCTAGCCAACCACCTGTAACGAGCCAGAGTGGAACACCGAGGTCAAGGGCATGAAGCAACAGTGGCGAACTCTAAAACGCTAACACTCTTGTTCGTGGTGGCCACCAACATTACCAGATTTTTTTAAAAAATGATTTTGTTCTTAATTTTAGGAGGGAGGAAAATAAAAAATGTGTCAACGTTCTGCTTAAGAATGTCTTTTTTTGAACGTATTATATGGCCAAAAAAATTTTTAATTAACTTTTGAATTTTAAAAAATATTTAGAAAATGAAGAAATGGATGTTCTGAATGATATGGCTTTTATACTCTCATAAAACAATGAGGGGGGGAGGGAATGAATAAAATAAGAAAAAGATGGGGACAAATTCAAACTTCAGCAAAAATATACTGGGAGAAAAATTATACGAAAAAGAGAAATATATCAGAAAAATGTGTTAAAGAAAAAAGTTTTATCCCCTTAACCATAAAAAAGGAACAATTAAAAAAAATAATTTTTTTAACTACAAAAACCCAAAACCAATTTATTAAACTTAAATCCTTTGAAAAGTTGAAAACAAAAATCTCTGGCTCGGTCAACAGGCAGGTGGCTGCTTTGAGGCTCAAGTTTCCGAACATAGACTAATCACACACCGTGGCAACAGGTTCTCGTCAGTCAACAGTGTTTACGGCTTCCCATCCAATCAAATCTTTTTCCCTCTGAAGAACATAACGTCACTGGTCCATAACTCAAAAGAAATCTTTGGGAAGAACAATGATGTTGTCATCGGGTCCAGTAGGCGAGGAAGGAAAAACCTTTCTCTCGGCAGATCAACGACGTCCAACCGTCTCAGATCTTGAACCCTCCTCCTCCTCAATTGAATTTATAATTTTAACCGTCTTGAACAGAACGAAATTCTAAATCTTCCGCTGAAAGAACATGTCTTGGTCATCAAATTGAAAGATTTAAATTGGCAGAATTTTGGTTTCTGCACAGAAAAGCACCACCGCAGCAAAAGGGGCAGCTTGGAACGCTTCAGAGGGGTCACATGGCCATCATCATGTGTTAAAGGAAACGGTAGGAAATACTCCAGGCTCACACCATATTCTCTCCCTGACACATCCCACCGCTCATCACTTCATGGACTAAAGAAAGCACACAGCAACCACCTACCTGTCTTCCATTTTCTTTCTTTTCTTAGCTAACAAAAGGTTTGCAGATCTCCACAAAACAAAATACAACCTACGGACATCAAATGCAGGAATCTAAGCACTCAAGTAAGATTCAGGATAATTATTTAGAAAACGAGAATTCAGCTCAAGTTATTTTACTCAACTAAGAAATCATGTTGCAACGTTGCTTTGAGTAAGGCACACAAAATTGTTATAAGAGTACAAGGTAAAAATCTATGGTCAACACAGATATAATTTTGTTATCATGAGTAAAGTAAAACAAATACAAAAAGCCACCCCACCGCAATCCATTGAAGAAAAGAAAAGAAGCTACCACAGAGACAGACTTAGCACATTCGCTGATCTGAAAGCAGTCCACCGCACAGGAAGATATAGGCAGAAAGTAATCTTTATGTCAATGTTACTAACCACATCACTAAAGCATAGTCCACAAAATAAAATTCGCTATAACGAAAAGAGAGGAGAGAAATTGGAACCAAGCGTTAGTATCAAAACTTAAGAGGAGACGACTGGTCAGAAATAAAAGTAAAAGGAGTCACAGAATTGGAGCCATTACTGAAAGGAAGATCTCAAGACCATACCCTTACCACTCAACTTTGAAGACATGTTCCAATAGAGAAAAAAAAAAGGCTACCTCATATCAGTTATCATCTCTTACCACTTAAACTTTGTATTTTTTAAAAAGAAAGTTCAGTATAAACCCCATGAACTGCGTATCACTTTAGGAAGCAACAAAATGGAAAGTCCGGAAGGTTCTAGAAACAAGGAGTACTCACTGTCTCTGAAGGTCGACCTGTCGCTGCTTGTAGGCCTCCACTGCCTGTGGGGGAACTAGCGCGGCCAGGGCCAACGCATCACGCATCTTTCGCAAGATCTCAAAGTGCTCTTTGCCTTGGATCTGTTGAGTAGAGAAAAGGAATCACTTATCTCCAGAGTCAAAAACAACTTCCCTAAACCAGTTTTTTAGTAAGAGTTTTACGGCACTTGCAACACAATAAGGTCATGTAAGTGCCGAAGATTAGAGGTGTTACAAGAGAGTAACAAACATAAAAAAGAAGGAGGGGAGAGACAAGGACGATAGATGTTTGATAGGAAAGAAGAAGCAAACCACACCAGAGCACCTGCCAACCACCCACTTCCCTAAACCAATACAAATAACGTCGCCGTTTAGAAATAAAACAGTGTTCTGACTTTTGATACCTATGGTTAGGCATCTCCTGCAGTGAGAACTTCAAAGTGGGTTAATTTTTTAAAATCAGAACAACATGATTGTGGAAAGCATTTTTCAAATCTAGTTAACATAATTTACATTTTCAAAAAAAATTTCAACACACCTCCAAAAATATTTCAACTCTAAATCAAGTTTCACAATTCTCACCAACACAAAACTTCATACTGAGTTTACAACAACAACAAAAAAAAGCTCAATAACGTAACTTTGTCACTACTACTACCACTCACCGGCAAATGATAAATTTCTGTGTCTTCGTTCAATTTCCGCTTCTTAGCAAAGCTCATGATCTCCGTTACTGAAGTCATCTTTGAGCCACTCACACCGGGTCCTGGCAAAGAAGACAGAAACATCAGTTTATTTAGCAATGCTTTTTGGTTTTTGTTTGAGTAAAGAGAAGCACACTGACACAATAATGGTAATAGAGTGCTAACTGAGGAAAAGTCAGACAGAGAGACAGAAGAAACAGAGGGGAAAGTAAAGAAGTAGGACCTACCAGCGGTGTGCCCTCCAACCACCCGCTTAGCAATGCTTAAAGACAAGAACAGCAAACCCAGAGACAGAATGAACAATCAGATAATCGTTGGGCAAATGTACGAAAAAAATGCAGGACAAAAGTAAACATCCAATACAGACACAGTATGTTAACTAGTAGCCCTTACAGTGAGCGTTCTTAAGCCAACAATTATGACAAATAAAAAGGCCTCTTGTTCCTTTAAACTAGGGGAAACAAAATCAACCCACAAACAAAACAGAAGAAAAGAAGCGACCCAACTTCCTTTGGAGAGGGAAAGACAAACTAACATAAAGAACCCTGGCAATAAATGTCACAAGTAAACTATGCGCGAACAGTTACCTCCTTTCTTAGGCGACACTTTGACTGGCATGGCCGCTCTCTCATCAGCTTTTCTATCGCGGCCCGGGCACGCACAGATCCTCACTTCCACAGCTCGCCGACCAAGAACCTGGCCTTCTTTCTCTAACGTGAACACAATCTGGAGAGGTCTCCTGCACACACACAAACACAGAAAAATTGTTGAACTGATTGGGATAATTGGTCGCTTTTAAAGACAAGCGGGCTAACCCAGATTTCGGGGGTATCCAGAAATCTTGACCTACATCAAAAGTGGGCATTGCCCTACCTATAGGAGAAGTTTGGTTTCATTGGTGTGTATATTTGTTTGGTTACTGAGAAAACTCTCCTCATGTTTTCAAGAAACAGAACAAGGGGCAAAAACTTTACCTTCGGTTTTCTCAAAACAGCATTTTTCAGGAAAGCCTCCTTGTGCTTAAAAGTGACCAATTGCCTTACTGGTGATTTAGCGCTGAGAACAGTGCTTGACGTGATACTTCATGGTTTTAAAAATAATCAAGCACACACACACACAGGGCGTATACGAGGTTATATTTTTGGGTACCCCAGGATAACTTTTAGTCAGCTTGGCAGTTACTTTGGTGATTTGTCCTTGATCTCCATTTTTTTCATCAAATCCTGATTTTTTTCTCCCCTAGATCCTGATTTTTAACTTCATAGAGTGGCAGGTCTTTGGTCCCTCACCTGTTAGGTCCTCCGACACAGGAGCCAAGGCACATGAACTGGAAGAGGTTGGTGACCCACTCGGCGCCCGCCTGCGGGGTCTCGTGTGGGATGACCACGCTCTGCCTCTGGGAGCTGGGGTCCTCCGAGTACTTGGCCAGCTTGTGCTCGCAGCGCACCAGGTGCGTGGGGGCCGGGTGGCTCTCGTTGTGCTCCTTGGACACGGCATGGTTCGGGCAGCGCTTGACCACCTCCTGGACGTGCTCGGGCTTCATGAAGATGGGCATGGCTCGGATCACGCTGTTGATGGGGGCCTGGCCCCGCGTCTTGAACCTCACCGGGCACGTGGTGGCCATGCGCACGTACAGCTTCTTCAGAGACTCTGAGTACTGAAATACAAAAAGACAGCCATGGTTTATTCTTTGGAAAAAAAAAAAATTCCTAACAGATTCTGAATACAATAGTTAAACCAAACAGCCACGGCTAATTCTAAGAAAAAACAATGTTTCCTCGCAGATTCTTAAAACAATAATTGAATAAAACAGACACGGCTTATTCTTTGAAAAAGTTTCTTTAGACTGAACACAATAATTGAACTAAATAATAAGGGCTATTTTTTTTCCTTTCAAAAGACAAGTCTTGAGAGACTGAATATGAATACTATATCTGAGCCAAACAGTCATCACGGCTATTCTTCGAATAAGGCAAAAGTCTTCACAGAGACCTTGAACATGAAATCCAAAAAGAATGGCTATGGCTCATTAAAAAAAAATGTTTCAGTTTCTTCTGAGATGAAATACAACAAAACAGGTAAAGCTTATTTATTCTTTGATCAACAAGTTTCTTCAGGGATTCTCAAGATTGAAATTTGGTACATCAGAAGGGTATAAAGCTTTCCCCAGACATTGAATAAAGACAAGTACATCGACAAAACAATGGCCATTCAATGTACGGAGAAAAGTTTAAAAAAGAACACAGGGAAAGAAAAGACGCAGGACCTACCAAACTGAAACATGCTCTCCAACCACCTGCACACTTTCTCAAATTTGTGGGATTGGGTAGGAAGAAAATAATAAACGAACACCATAAAAATGTGACATAAACCATCTCATAATGGAAAGCAATATATGGATCTGGAACATTTTGGGTTGGTCTTTTCCGATTGATAATCCAAATTTCTAAGTACAAGCAGTGCCAAGCGGTGCAAGGACATGCTCTTGACAAACAGAAAAGACAACAGGGCAACATTCACTACAAAACATAAACCTACCGTCCATGTGGTTGATTTTGTCTCTTTAGAAGGCTGGGCAAAGCTGATTTCAAAACCATAGTCCCCTGCATAATCAGTACTGAGAACAAGAAACACAAAAAGCAACTGAAAAAATGTCCTTGATAAATTGTGCCATGCACAACATAAAACAGACAAAATTAAAAAAAACAAACAAAAGTAACAATTAACTTAGCATCTTGCTCTTCAGGATAAGAGGATGAAGAAGGGAGCCACACATACCAACAGTAATCCAAACTAAACACTATGAGACATTAATGACAATAAACTTGATTTTCCTGTAATAACTTAGTTTAAATTAAAAAATTAAAACATTCTCAAACATTCAGTTTTCATCATTCATTACATATTTCTCTAAGTCAACAAGAATCACGGGCCATTCCTTATACCATTCCAACACAAATACATGCCAGCTGCTTATTTACAGTTACACTGACAGTAACACCACTCTATCAAAATCATCAGGAATTTTCTAGTCACATGAAATCAGTGTAAACTCTTAGAAGATAAGGAACTTACTTTGAGGGCACTGTTGGCATAGGTGATGTGACCGTGTTATGAGGTGAATATGGAGGCGGTGATGTGATGGTCTGTGGAGAGAAACAAAGAGGAAGTCAAAAACAGGAAAACCTTCCACAGACACTCAACTTTGCCATCAGTGTACCGAAAAAAAACATCCAGTACAAAAAAAAATCATGAAACAATTTTCCAGAGATGCTATCTGGCTACAAAAAAATTTCTGAACTATTCAGCCACCTGGAAACGCAAGTGGGGGGACTCCAAATTAACAGAATATATTGCAAAATGAAAAAAATATCACTGCAATTTCAGAAATCTAGAACTACAGAAACCAAGACCTGAATAATATATCCATTGGCCTAAAGCACACTGACACAATAAAAGCCATTTAAAGCTGAGAAAAAGCAAGACGAATAGAGGGATAAAGCAGAGGAAATGTATCTGAAGAAGTTGAAATGTTTGGCAATTTAAAAAAACAACCCTGAAAACACGAGAAACCGAAGTAGCGATTTCAATTTATTACCAACAAAATCAGCCATTACATCACAGAACGAAACTTCCTGCAGATTCAGTCAGCCACCAACACTAAAAGCGTTAACATAACAGTGCGGTTTAAAGAGACAGATCAAAAACATGGGAGTGCAGTAGTGATAAGAGCAATCAGACTTTGTTTTGTTTTATATGTTTTAGAAAGTGTTTTACGGCACTTGCAACACAATAAGGTCATATAAGTGCCGAAGATTAGAGGTTTTACAAGAGAGTAACAAACACAAAAAAGAAGGAGGGGAGATAATAAGAATAAATGTTTGAAAAGAAAGAAGAAGCAATTAGACTAGACACTTACATCGTCATATGGACTTGATGCACTGGAGCCGATGATGTTGGTCTGCGAGTCTGGGCTCATACCAGATGAGGTAGTTGTGCTGAGAATCGGGTTTAACTGAAACAAACAAAAATGGGGGTAAAAACTTAATGAATTTCTCAAATCAAATACAAAGATTGTACTGAACAAGATGGAAGTAGTAGTCAATACTGTGACTGTATGAACTACTTAACAGTAAATAGAGAACACAGTCTGTTAAAAAACATTTCTTTCTTTAGTAAACAAAAACTCTCGGAGAGCAACTAGTCCCAGTCACGGGGTCTAAATACGACCTTTCTTTTCAGTATTGTTTTTCACATGGGTGAGGGTCTTTGTTGAGTAAAAAATAACCACGAAAAACAGAAGACCCTGTAAATCACTGCAACAGAGTGGGAATCTCCTTTAGGATAAACACTCTAAAAGTCAACTGATTGTTTTTCGGTTGTTGGGGGTTATTTTTGTCTTTTGTTAATCCTAAAGCCAACATGTTATTAAAGAAATGCATCCCGTTTCAAATAAAATTTATTTCACACTTGGGAAAACATGACAACCATGCACTAAACATATTCCTCTCTGATCTTATTGTTTAAAGCAAGACATATCACAGAAGAAAACAACAATAAAGAAAGAAAGAAAGACAAAAAATACAAGGTTCACAGGTGTTCTGGTGTGGTTTGCTGCTCCTTTCCTATCAAACTTCTGCACTTAAAGGAATGACTCATTTGTGTTTCAAGTACCATCAAACAGTTACTATTACTAAAACTAAAATTAAACTAAACACAATCTTGGCACCAAACGTTTCTACCTTCCACAGACAAAAATAAAGCCGCCAAACCAAAACATTAGAAACAAACAGAAGGGTGCAGTCTCCATGCAAGAACATGAGAAATACTTTTTAAATAAAGTAAACCAACCAACATACCTATCGACTTCAGTTCTGGATCGATAACAACAACAACCTATCGACTTCAGTTAGCATATTACACCTGATTTCTACAAGGCAGACGCTTAAGCGATATCACGACACAAGCCAAACAAGAACAATTACCAGTTCAGACAACGTGGTAGATGCAAACAGAGACAAAGCCACAGGCTCTTTCACTCGCCACTCTTGACTGAAACTTTTCATCGTGACGATCTGCCTCTCTCCTCCCCGCCGCATGTATCCACTATAAACACCAGGCAGAAGACACCGACAGACTGCCACCCAACCAGCCTCGCTGTCAGAGCCCACACACACACACACAAACACACAGCCTAATAAATATATCGATATATCGACGGCAATCTTCTCAAAACAGCACTGGCCGCACCTCCCTGGTTCAACACTGCCGCTGGCTACTGGGCTGACCTACAATGCCACAAACATCTCCAAAACTCTCACCGGGCTGTCTGCCTTT